AGGAAACAAAACTTCCAGAACACGGCCACACAGCCCGGAAGACCCACACGAGCCATCGTATGCCGGCCGTGAAAGCCTTCGACAATACAATTTTAAGAAATTTTGTTCATTCATGGTTCCATTACATCAAATTCTACATTTCATTACAGTTCCAGCAGTTAGAAAACAAGGAATTAGAACCATGACTAAATTTGAGATTAAGCTAAATTCATCACCTAATAGGGAAAAGGTGAGAATTTCAAAAATTTACAACATTCTGTTAAAAGACAAACTTTCTGAGTGGGTTGAAAAGAATATTGGAATTACATAGAAAAGCCCCTATGCCAGGGTTTCTCAACCTTAGCAACTTTAAGCTGGCTGGGGAATTCTGGGAGTTGAAATCAACACATTTTAAAGTTGGTAAGGTTGAGAAACACTGCCCTATTTGACCCGATGGTTATTCAACTGACATAGAAAACCACTGAAAACAATTTTACCCCAAATTAAGGAAAACTCAGTGAATTTTATAGCTGGTATTCAACACCAGGTAAACTCAACATGATAAATTCTAGCATAAGCTCCATGTGTTGGAGAAAATAAAAAGAAATAGATTCCTATTATCATATGTAATAGTCCTGTAAAGCTGTTCAGTTTTGGGGATGGACATTTTTATTAAAAGAGGACAAATCACAATTTGAACCAAATCACAACTCAGACAATTATACTGGATCCTAAGTTGGCCTTACTAAGTTTTTTCAATAATCAGCAATGCATTGAAGCATAAATAATTGATAGTTTTCTTATTGGTTGCAGCCCAACAAGCAGTGGCAAGATCTTGGAAAACAGAAAATAATTTGAAAATGGCAATATGGTAGCAAATACTGTATACCGGGAAATTGCTCTAATGAAAAAAAATTAACAAAAAAGAGACAGCCGTATTATGATAACACAGACAATTTTTACTTTACCTGGCTTATTAGGCATAATAAAAGCACAATGGTTATTTACTACCCAGTTCCAGGTTCCCCGATAATGTAATTAAATAAGGATATATGCATTTTGCTTCTACTGTATATATACTCCATAATTATTAATAGCAAATACATTTACATTTTTTAAACATTAGCTCTTTGGGAAAAATATATTTGCGTTAATATTTGCTGAAGCAAAATGAAATGTTATTTTTAAACCCAAGCCCAGCTTGACTAGTTTGAATGAATGAATTGCAGATTCCGTTTGAATGGAAGAGAATATGTTCTGAAGCAAACTTGAAAATTTTAAATTTGATAATCTCTGCTGATTGCACGAAATGCCACCAACCAACGTTTGAATGTATTAAATAAATGTATTTGATTGTATTAAATGAATACAATCTACTGGAAAGGCTGATAACATTCACATTTAAATTCTTCCTGATCAAATTATTATCTTTATGAATATCACATGCGGCTTTCGGATTGTCTCCAAATGATCTGAAACCCCAACAGGAAAAAGAGGAGGAACGGAATGAAATGGAATGGAAAAATGCGGCACTAAACGACTGTAGCCAATTTCGGAGGCAGCACGGAGTAAAATGTAAGGAAGAGTTCATAAATGGAGAACAGAGAAATCTCAGAAATTCCAAGTACATCTCGTTCTTTATAAATAACGTTTTCTCCTGCAGAAAGCAAGATTAGCTAAGTGCGTAGTATAGTGGGGCACTTATAAGCCACGTGACACATTCATAATCACATCTTCCTTTTGTAGAGTTCTTCACTTTATTGCAGCTCCAGAGGGCTCCAGGTTTTATCGGGGCTGAGGGCAGAGGAATTAAACCTTCCCTCTGCCACCATGCACAGCCCATTTCCCCCTCCAAGCCCCCCCCCCCCC